CCCCCCCCCAGACAACCACAGAGGGTGAGGGTACTGGGCATACCCCCCCCCAGACAACCACAGAGGGTGAGGGTACAGGACATACCACCCCAGACAACCACAGAGGGTGAGGGTACAGGGCATACCCCCCCCCCAGACAACCACGGAGGGTGAGGGTACAGGGCATACCCCCCCCCACTAAACCACGGAGGGTGAGGGTACAGGAATGCTGAGGGGGGAAAGTATGGGGTGTACCACAGGTACACAGGAGGTCAGGATATGGGGTGTACCACTAGCACACAAAGGGTGAGTGTACGGGGTAGGGCTGCAACAACTAATTGATTAAATCAATAATAAATCGATGATGAGAATAGTTGCCAACTATTCTCATTATTGATTAGTTGGTGGGGGGGCGATATTTCTTTTAATGTAACCAATCGATTAATCAAAAAAAGAATCAGGCAACTAATTGATTATGAAAATAATCGTTAGCTGCAGCCCTAGTAGGGGGTGTACCCTAGGTGTGCAGTGGGTCAGAGTATTGTGGGTACCACAAGCATGCAGGGGGTCAGAGTAAAGGGCATACCCCAGGAACACAAAGGGTAAGAGTACAGGGTGTACCCAAGGCATCCAGAGGGTGAGAATACTATTTGTTACTGTGCTCTGCATGATTTTCCATTAATGAAAAGAAAAACTCTGCTTTGGCTAATATATATATATTGTGGCAGTGTATAGGAGTGTGTGGCAGTGTATAGGAGTGTGTGGCAGTGTATGGCAGTGTGTGGCAGTGTATAGGAGTGTGTGGCAGTGTATGGCAGTGTGTGGCAGTGTATGGCAGTGTGTGGCAGTGTATAGGAGTGTATGGCAGTGTATAGGAGTGTGTGGCAGTGTATGGCAGTGTGTGGCAGTGTATAGGAGTGTATGGCAGTGTATAGGAGTGTGTGGCAGTGTATAGGAGTGTGTGGCAGAGTATAGGAGTGTGTGGCAGTGTATGGCAGTGTGTGGCAGTGTATAGGAGTGTGTGGCAGAGTATAGGAGTGTATGGCAGTGTGTGGCAGAGTAAAGGAGTGTGTGGCAGTGTATAGGAGTGTATGGCAGTGTGTGGCAGTGTATAGGAGTGTATGGCAGTGTATAGGCGTGGGTGGCAGTGTATAGGCGTGTGTGGCAGTGTATAGGCGTGTGTGGCAGTGTATAGGCGTGTGTGGCAGTGTATAGGCGTGTGTGGCAGTGTATAGGCGTGTGTGGCAGTGTATAGGCGTGTGTGGCAGTGTATAGGCGTGTGTGGCAGTGTATAGGCGTGTGTGGCAGTGTATAGGCGTGTGTGGCAGTGTATAGGCGTGTGTGGCAGTGTATAGGCGTGTGTGGCAGTGTATAGGCGTGTGTGGCAGTGTATAGGCGTGTGTGGCAGTGTATAGGCGTGTGTGGCAGTGTATAGGCGTGTGTGGCAGTGTATAGGCGTGTGTGGCAGTGTATAGGCGTGTGTGGCAGTGTATAGGCGTGTGTGGCAGTGTATAGGCGTGTGTGGCAGTGTATAGGCGTGTGTGGCAGTGTATAGGCGTGTGTGGCAGTGTATAGGCGTGTGTGGCAGTGTATAGGCGTGTGTGGCAGTGTATAGGCGTGTGTGGCAGTGTATAGGCGTGTGTGGCAGTGTATAGGCGTGTGTGGCAGTGTATAGGCGTGTGTGGCAGTGTATAGGCGTGTGTGGCAGTGTATAGGCGTGTGTGGCAGTGTATAGGCGTGTGTGGCAGTGTATAGGCGTGTGTGGCAGTGTATAGGCGTGTGTGGCAGTGTATAGGCGTGTGTGGCAGTGTATAGGCGTGTGTGGCAGTGTATAGGCGTGTGTGGCAGTGTATAGGCGTGTGTGGCAGTGTATAGGCGTGTGTGGCAGTGTATAGGCGTGTGTGGCAGTGTATAGGCGTGTGTGGCAGTGTATAGGCGTGTGTGGCAGTGTATAGGCGTGTGTGGCAGTGTATAGGCGTGTGTGGCAGTGTATAGGCGTGTGTGGCAGTGTATAGGCGTGTGTGGCAGTGTATAGGCGTGTGTGGCAGTGTATAGGAGTGTGTGGCAGTGTATGGCAGTGTGTGGCAGTGTATAGGCGTGTGTGGCAGTGTATGGCAGTGAGTGGAAGTGTGTGGCAGTGAGTGGCAGAGTGTGGCAGTGTGCGGCAGTCTGTGGCAGTGAGTGGCAGAGTGTGGCAGTGTGTGGCAGAGTATGGCAGTGTGCGGCAGTGTGTGGCAGTGTATATGAGTGTGTGGCAGTGTATGGCAGTGTATATGAGTGTGTGGCAGTGTATATGAGTGTGTGGCAGTGTATATGAGTGTGTGGCAGTGTATATGAGTGTGTGGCAGTGTATATGAGTGTGTGGCAGTGTATATGAGTGTGTGGCAGTGTATATGAGTGTGTGGCAGTGTATATGAGTGTGTGGCAGTGTATATGAGTGTGTGGCAGTGTATATGAGTGTGTGGCAGTGTATATGAGTGTGTGGCAGTGTATATGAGTGTGTGGCAGTGTATATGAGTGTGTGGCAGTGTATATGAGTGTGTGGCAGTGTATATGAGTGTGTGGCAGTGTATATGAGTGTGTGGCAGTGTATATGAGTGTGTGGCAGTGTATATGAGTGTGTGGCAGTGTATATGAGTGTGTGGCAGTGTATATGAGTGTGTGGCAGTGTATATGAGTGTGTGGCAGTGTATATGAGTGTGTGGCAGTGTATATGAGTGTGTGGCAGTGTATATGAGTGTGTGGCAGTGTATATGAGTGTGTGGCAGTGTATATGAGTGTGTGGCAGTGTATATGAGTGTGTGGCAGTGTATATGAGTGTGTGGCAGTGTATATGAGTGTGTGGCAGTGTATATGAGTGTGTGGCAGTGTATATGAGTGTGTGGCAGTGTATATGAGTGTGTGGCAGTGTATATGAGTGTGTGGCAGTGTATATGAGTGTGTGGCAGTGTATATGAGTGTGTGGCAGTGTATATGAGTGTGTGGCAGTGTATATGAGTGTGTGGCAGTGTATATGAGTGTGTGGCAGTGTATATGAGTGTGTGGCAGTGTATATGAGTGTGTGGCAGTGTATATGAGTGTGTGGCAGTGTATATGAGTGTGTGGCAGTGTATATGAGTGTGTGGCAGTGTATATGAGTGTGTGGCAGTGTATATGAGTGTGTGGCAGTGTATATGAGTGTGTGGCAGTGTATATGAGTGTGTGGCAGTGTATATGAGTGTGTGGCAGTGTATATGAGTGTGTGGCAGTGTATATGAGTGTGTGGCAGTGTATAT